ATATCTCTAAACCATGAAGTGTGCTATGCATGCTAGAAATGAAAACTGAATACTAGTTTTGAATAATTACTTTAACCTTCCTTCATCCAAATATGCAAACTTTAAAGTGATTTTGAACTTAAATGGTTTACAAATAAAAAAAATCCACCATAAAAAACCACATATATCTAGTCCACAAAATGAGATATGCTACTGATGAAACATGAGAGTATAAAGTTGGTAACCTTTAGAACCGAAGAATCGAGGAAGGAATCGAAGAAATCTTGTGATTACCGGCGATGAGGAAGAAGAGAGGCCGGCGATGAAGCAAGAACACTGAGCTCGAAGTGGCTCGGGCTCGAGGAGGAAGAGGGCTATATAGGAGGGGACCTTTAGTCCCGGTTTCGGTCTTCAACTGGGACTAAAGGTCCCTTTCTAGTCCCGTACGGAGCCTCCAGCCGGGAGAAGACTTTTACTCCCGGTTGGAGGGACCAACCGGGAGTAAAAGTTAACCTTTAGTCCCGGTTTGTAGCTCAAACCGGGACTAAAGGTCCCTACAGCAAAAGCCTGCTGCAGTAGCCGTTGGGCAGGGACCTTTAGTCCCGATTGGAGCTACAAACCGGGACTAAAGGTCTCTCTAGTCCCGAGCACGAAAAATACCGGGACTAAAACCAAATTTCGAGCTGAATCAAAGGTCGTTTCTCTACCGGTGGTGTGTTGTTGGCCGGCCATATATATGCATGGTTATATGTGTGTTTTCAAATCGTATCTCAACCAACCCCGGACAGCCCGTACTCGATCGGTCCGCAGCTGGTGGACTGCTGGACACGGTGCAATGTGAAAGTCACACACGGCTACGGAGGACGACGCCGTGCACAACGTTGCCGTGTGTGTGTTGGCCATGCGCCCATGCCCATGCTTGCCGGCCGGCCGCCGGAGGATCCGTTCCGATCGATCGATCCCCTCGTAGGAATCTACTGCAGTAACAAACTGCAGAGACGGAGGAAAGGGGGCGTACTGCTGACATAGGAATGTAGAGGTCACTGTGCTGTGTACATACCCATGATAAAAGGCCACACGTACAGACCACCATACAGTACAGTGTATATCTCTACTAGCATCATCGATCAGTCCATCGTATCCGCTACATGCTTGGAGTTCGAGTTGGGCCTATATATACCGTTACAGGCCGGTTTCTCTCGCAACTACAACACATACACACAACTCTCGATCATCGGTGGTCAGCCAGTACTAACATGCATCTGAATGTATATTGATGCCCAGGACAGCTAGCAGCTAGCATATATATATATATATATATGTGTGTGTGTGTGTGTGTGCGCCAGCTGAAATAATTAAGGTACTAATAAGTATATACAGTATGTAGTATAAACTATAAATGGACAAATGACTGCAGTGTAAATACTGTAAAAACATCACTTCCATGTGCATGTGCATGTGTGGTGGGCTATACAGGTTCTGAGTGGCGACATAATTGTATGAGTGTACTTGTACAGAAATACTAGTCATCTACAGAACTATGTGTGGCACATTCATATATCATCATCTCTACAGATCATGAGATGGACAAGTTGCAACCACACAATTCAATATATGGAATGCGCTTATATATATATATATATATATATATATATATATATATATATATATATATATATATATTGTGGTGTGGGTTTGTGCATTATTAGCTAATATAAGCATTATTGATAAACTCCCTATATATTGCATTTCATTCAGACAGTCATAAACAAAAGCACCTTGATAACGATTGTTCTTGACAATGTCCTTAAAAAATATATAGGACCACCACAATTAATTGTGCAATAAATATTCGAGGAAAACATGAAAAAGTACGATGCAAAATATATCTGAATTTCACTACATTTTGTTCCTATTTTAATACTAGCTGTAAAGATTTCTTTGGGGAAAAAAAACTAAACACCAATAGGGCTTCGATCTTGCACCACTTATGCATTTTTGGGTGGCATATCGATCTATTCACACACACACACACGTACATGGGATATGATTTTGAGCATGTGTCTAATAGTAGGATGATGAAATATATACCATGTGAGATCAATTCGTATATAATTAAGGAATGAAGCTGAACTATTGTTACACTTCAAAAAGTATATATATTCCATAATCCTCCATTTTATCATCATACTGATAAATTTTGAGACATCCTAAAAAATCACAAATACTCCCTCCGTTCTCTCTTATAAGTCACACATGCATATATAGTCAAAATGTAAATAAGGATATACTATGTCATGCCAAACTATGCCTTATAAAAGGGAATGGAGGGAATATGTTTATTATATTATTAGTATATTTAATAAAAACTCAAGATCCAAGTACATATTTAAAGATAGCAATGGTAGTAAGCATATATCATACACTCCCTCTGTCTCTAAAAGAATAGATATCTAGCAAGTTTACGACCGATTAGCAAGCAAGAGAAACGACCTTACTACCCCCTTATTAAGCTTCTTAACCTTAACTGCACTGATCACTTATTGAGAAGCTAGAGTAGTGAGTTTTGGTGTTAGTTTTTTAATAATATATTAAATGTTGTTGCACCCACTACGTCAACCATAGAAGCTTGGCATCCAGAGGAATAAATGGGTATGCTGACCATTAATTGGAATCTCCGAGGAAATAAATAAATGGGTCTGATGGATTGTGAAGGCTTAAAATTGATTTATTTTGGGGACAAATTTTCAGCATAGAAATCTAATCTTTAAGAGACAGAGGGAATATTTGTGAATGGAAGTGGTAGTGTCATCATGCATTTTTTTATTAGGAGAAACACAACTGAGAATATCAAACAATCACCATTAAATCAATCTATAGTACCTTTTAGCACTTAAGCATGAATCTGTGATATATCAAATTTCTTTTAAAGATAAAAGGTATCTAGTGTTGGTTTAATTTGTCCCTATATTGCTGACAGGTTTTTGTTAGCCACAATGAAATTCTGGTTTGTGTAGTGCAAAGTACTCCCTCCATTCCAAATTATAAGTCGCTTTGACTTTTTTGGTTCAACCATTTTGCTATGTATCTAGACATATTATTATATCTAGATGCGTAGCAAAATGGATGTACCAAAAAGGTTAAAGCGACTTATAATTTGGATCGGAGGGAGTAACACACACGTGATAGATAAGAATTTAAGGAGGTTTTCATAATTTTCATACACATGTGATACCTCCACAAAATAAATTGGAGATAGTATGATAGCCCCCAGTTCGTTTTTTTCTCTCTCTCGTAGTGAAGGGCAAAAACACTAAAACCGCGAGGTATGGTGATAATATATATTGCAGCTTCAGTAGGTATGGGGAAATAGTTTCATATATGTACTAGCACTTATGGATTGACCTTGTTATTTAGGGAATTAGTTAATACATAGACTAATAACCTTAATATAAATAAAACTGGAAAAAATATTGTAATACTGAGCTGTGTTGGTCTTGGCATAAGCAAGCAGCAGCAAGAGTGGTGAACAGCCAGTGGACTGAATGAAAGAGAGAAGCTAGCAGCTAGCACGAAACAGCCAAAGTGCAAACTGATTCTGACGTAGTATTTGACTACCACATGCACGCATATGTTGTCCATATTTTTGCATTACCTACTCACTTCTACAGCTGTTCGGGAGGCCATATCGTATCGTGGATTATTTACTGCTGACTGGTTTGGTGTGAGAGAAAAACACTGTTTCCGACTAGAAATTTACGATCGTTTACGAGCAAGCGAACAGGCTGCTAGCTGTCAGCTGACAGGGAAAGATCATGTTTAACAGGGTTGTCCCTGCCCGGGACTCATGTTTGACATAAAGTCATATTGTTTGTGTGCAGCACTATATATATGCTAATACGGCCCCTTAAGATGTTTTTACTTTTTTGATACATTGCTTTTTACTACTTCTACCGTCCCAAAATAAATGCACATCTTGCATTTCAAGGAGTCAAAAAATCTTAGATTTGACTAAATATATAAGAAAATGTACTAATGTTACGATATCAGATATTTATTCTTAGATTAATCTCATCATATATTTTTAGTAATAAAACTATTTAGAGATACAAATGGTAGTATTATTTTATATAAATTTAGTTAAGTTTGAGATTCGTTGACTCTTCAAAGTGTGAGATGTGTATTTATTTTAGGATGGATGGAATATATATATATATGTATATGTACATAGTGTAGAAACCCCAAAACATCTTAGAATTTGGAATGGAGGGAGTAATAATAATTTACTAAAAGTAAAATCCTGACCAATAAAAAAACACTTCAGATAAAACAGAGTGATAAATTTGTGTGTGCATCTCACTCTAGAACGGTGCACACAATTAATTAATCTCAAGTAAATTCATATAATTATATGTCCAATAAATAAAGCTTGTGAAATACTCCTATATGTGTGTGTGCATTTTCTGTACCATTCAAATCCACCTTAGATTCACTGGCTCCCCAATATAATGGCTCAGCTCATATCAGGTTGCACTCCGGCCGCTTTCCTACCGTCCAAAGGCTACTACAGTATCCAAAAGCTGCACTGCATAAAGACATGTAAAAAACACCAGCAGCTAAATCCTCACGAATCCTGTACACTGCTACTGGAGCTAGCTAGCAAGCTCTGGACTCTGGACTGGATTCAATGTAACAAGAAGCTAGCCCCATAACAAGATTGATCACATGTTGCTGCATGCCCAGGCCGGCCAATCGATCAATCATTACTTCTAAGATGCATGGAACAATTAATTAATCCACACCAAATACCATGAAATTCTTGCATTTGCTAGCTCATAGTATCTCCTAGCTCGTTAATTAAAAAGTACTGTAGCTAGCTACACGACCATCATCCTCACAATGCAAATTAAAAATCCAATCCAACGGAGAATTGAAAGAGGTAGAGAAAGATCATCTTTGGATGGATATATAAAAAGAAAATGGAAGGCGTTGCTTGCTTGATGAGGGAAATCAAATACTTATTATGGGAAGCCAATGGGGAAGTACAAGTTGGATGGGCTCCCTCCTCGGCCGCCGCCGCCGCTCCCTTTCCTGGCCTCGCCGGCCACCGCCGCCGCCATCTCCTGGCCCTGGTACATCAGCGTGGAGTTCATGGTGAGGCTCACCAAGCTGTCGTCGGCGGCGTCCGCCCTCGGGAAGCTCCCGCCGCCGTCGCTTCCTCCTCCCCCGGCGTCGCCGCCGGTACCGGTACCGGCGCCGTCGTCGCGCGTGGCTACCATCACCGCGGACTGCACGAGCTCGAGGCAGAGCCTGAGCTTGTTGGGCTCGATGTGCGTGAGCCCCGGGACGGCGCCCTTGAAGAGGAACTCGGAGGTGAGGCTGCGGAGCACGTCGAGCGGGGTGACGCCGTCGAGCGTCCGGGCGTTGGGGTCGGCGTGGTGGTCGAGGAGCACGGACACCATGTCCGGGGACACCATCTCGGCCGCCAGGTGCAGCGCCGTCTTCCCCGTGGGCCCGGCGCCGGAGTTGACGTCGGCGGCGCCGAGCTCCAGCAGCGCCTTGACGACGTCGCGCCCACAGTGCTGGACGGCGTAGTGCACGGCGAGGGCGTCGTCGAGGTCCAGCCCTTCGCCCATCACCATCAGCTTGACGAGCTCGATGTCGGCCGCGTCCAGCGCGCGCCGCATGCGCCGGATCCTGTGGTCGCGGTCGGCCGCCGACGCCGCCACGTTGATGGGGAGGTAGTGGTGCGTGAGGAACGGCGAGCGCGGCCCGCCGCCGGTTCCGCCCGCGGCGGAGACGGGGGACTTGGAGCGGATCTCCTCGATCTTGGCGACCACGTCGATGGGGAGGTGCTTGGCGAGGAGGTCCGAGGAGAGGCCCGAGCGCGCCACCAGGTGGGAGCAGGTGGCCCAGAGCTCCTGCATCTCGAACTTGCGCGACGCCATCAGCACCTTCATCACGTCGTCCACGAATGCCTCCTTCACCATGGCCTCCAGCTGCTTCTGCAGGCAACAAAAGGGTAGTAACTAAACACGGTTAGCGCCAGCCGCTAGCACTGTTGTGTACAATCAGGCAGGAATTGCAGGTGATTAGCAGCATAAGGCTGCAAATCCTCTGGCTGATCGATCTGCTTCCACTGGCTGGATCGATCGATCGCATCACCGAAGGCTCGCAGCATGCATGGTGGTTGACTGCACGTACTTGCATCTATCGGCATGGCAGCTGCACAGTGAGCAGCAAGCAAGGGGTTTTGGAAATGATGCACGGCTGCATCTATGCTGCGCTGTTAAGTTGTTGGGACTTGGGAGGGCCTGGCCTGGCCTGGATCGATCTCCGAGAAACCCTAGTAGAAATATATATACTAGTAATAATGCATGCTATATATATGCAATTGCAATTGCAGCCGGCCGGCCGGCCGGCCGGCGATTGAATTGAAAGGAAATGCAGCGCGTGCGTGCAATGGGGATGTGATGGAAGGAAGTTAGGGACAGGAGACATGAACAAGGGCGTGACAAGACCCTTCCTAGTAAAGATGAGTCAGAGAGAGGGCAGCAGCAGCAGGCACAGGCACCGCACAGGCAGGGCGGAAGCGATCCATCCATGACAAGTGATGACAGGTGCAGTAGCGAAGCGGCAGAAAATCAAGGGAGACTGCTGCAGCCTGCCTGCCTGTGCCAGTACACTCCTCTATCTATCTCAGATTCCTTCTTCCACGCAATAAAAAAAAATATATCGATAGGAAGAGAGAGAGAGAGAGGAAAGCAACGAAGAAGGGATTCTGGTGCTGCTGGTGCCTGGAAGTCCTCCATGACCATGAATCGGCAGGGAAGGAGCAGCCTAGCTAGGGATCTAGTCGAGCTCGAGCTGGAGGCTGGAGCATGCATGATGCATCCAGGAGAGGAGCAGGTGATGGTCAGCCAGGAGTTCCTGATCGATCCCTGACTGACTCCCGTCTTTGAAGAATTGATGCGCGGCGCACAAAAGATGCGTGCTTTTATCGATCGATGAGCTTCGACTTCATACATCCATGGCGAATCCCAATCTCAGTCAGTCAGGAGTTAGTAGTAACTGCCTCTGCCTGCCTGCAGAAGTGCAGATCCCAAGAATTGGTGACAGTTAGTAGTAGGAAGGGAACGAATGAATCCCCACCTGGACGAGGAGGGCGAGCTGCTCGACGCCGAAGGATCGAGCGGCGGCGAGGGTGTCGAGGGCGAGGTCGACGGCTGCGCCGCAGCGGGTGTGCCAGCAGCCCCTGGCGCCGCAGCCCGGGAGCGGCCCGCTCTTGGGCGCGGCGACGGAGGCCTGGCCGCTGTAGAGGAACTGGAGCACCAGCACCAGCACCTCGTAGCGGATGGAGCTGACGGGGATGACGAGCTCCGGCGCGCGGGCCCCGGCGGCGGAGGAGGAGCCCGGCGTCGGCGGTGGCTGGTGGTTTGGGTCGAGGCCGCAGAAGAGCTTGCGGAAGAAGAGGCTGCGCGCGGCCAGCACGCAGCGGTGCGCGTGCACCAGCCGGCCCTCCACGCTGAAGGCCACGTCGCTGAAGGCCTGCCCGTTGATGAGCAGGTTCAGGTAGTCCAGCGACAGCGACTTGAGCGAGTCCTCCGAGCTCATGATCTCATGTGCGTGCCTGGAAGGCCGGCCGGACGCGGCAGCGGCGGCGGTCGCTCTGAAGGCTGAAGGCCCTCCACCCGGCTGCCTTTGTTTGCTGGGGCCGGGCCAGCCGGAGAGAGATCGATAAAGGCCGGCCGGCGGCGCGGATTTTGGAGAGATTTGGAGGGGAAAGCGCGCGGCTGGAAAGAAAGAAAGCACGCACACACGCACAGCGGCCGGGCGACGACGCAGCTGTGTGTGGAGGGGAGAGGAAGACGATGGGAAAAGGCAGGCAGGCTGCTTGCTGATGCTCTGGTAGCTAGGGTGAAGTGAAGGCAAGGCGCGGTGAAAGAGACGGAGGAGACGGCGACGGATGGAGACGAGAGGCGTGCGCCGGCCCCGCTAGCCTGCAGCTGCTCCTATCACTCGCCTCGGTCCCCGTTGCGCTACAGCTACAGCGTTGGGCCTTGGCCATCCATCATCGATGGATCGCTGCTGTGGCTTTGTGGTTCCTCTTCTTGGCCCGGTTTCCACTTCGTTTTGCCAAATTTTTCAAGATTTTCCGTCACATCGAATCTTTAGACGTATGCATGAAGCATTAAATATAAATAAAAAATAAAACTAATTACACAGTTTAGACGAAATCCACGAGACGAATTTTTTAAGCATAATTAGACTATGATTGGACATTAATTGTCAAATAACAACGAAAATGCTACGATGCTCATTTTGCAAAAAAAATTGCATCTAAACTGGACCTTGGTGGGGTTGGACGGTGGGGACGCGCTCTACAGTCTTTGTCTACAGTTCCATTGATGTATGCACCCTGCGCGCACAATGCCGATCGATCGATGGATCCCCTCCAGTCCTCTCCCATGGGTGATGGGGAGGAGCTGGGGCAGGCAGCTGGGCTAGCTAGCCATTGACGACCCAGCTGCGCGCCAATGGCGTGGTGGCGGTGCACGAAGTGGCACTGTGGCCGGCGTTGCATCGCCTAGCTTGGGTTACTGTACCGGCCGCCAGAGTATCTTTTTCTTTTGGTGAAAAAAAGTGAGCGGGTTCGGGTTAAAGTGGGTTGTTGTTTGGAGTTTGTGATTGGTCGAGGGGTTAGTTACTAGTCATGCTGCCCTGTTCGCTTGACTGATAAACCATGGTTGAAAGTACTATTGATTGATTTGCTATGAGAGAAAAATATTGTTTGTTGGCTGAAAAAAGTACGGCTTATAAGCCATTGAGAGACTGTTCGTTGTGAGCTCATGGATGGATGGGTCAAATGGATGGTTATTTCCTAGAGAGATGATGCTATAGTGGACATGTGTGCATGTAGCATAAAAATAAAATTGTGTGCATGCTGTTGTGTGTGTTCATTATCAATAGTGGAAATCACATGTGCCATATATGATTGAAACTAGCCCTAGGAGTGTTGTCTAGAATATAGTAACTACTATATTTATGAATGGTGAAAAATGTAATAACGACATGTGTCCTTACTTTTATATTAATCAAAGATTATATGTATGTATATAAGTAATTGTTTTGGATCAACCGATCTGATAACTATGTATTTTTTAGATAAAAACACAACATATATTGAAGATTAGAGCAGCAACACAGATTCACCTGATAAACATGAAGAGAACATAGAAAAAGATAATCTAAACGACAGCGGCAACACTAGCGTCGGCAAAGATTTTGGGTGGAGGCCCAGCCTGGTAAGTGGCTACGAGACGCCGGGGCGGAAAGGCCTCAGTACCGTGAGTAGAGGTAAAAGCGTACACCCATCTTCTTCATGACGAGAAAACATCACTACCACAAAAGATTACTGAAAACGGTTAGTGGCGGCACATAACAGAGGACAACGGGGTTCAGTGGAGATGGCCAAGATGCCAGAGTCGACGAGGCTGAAGCTTGACCTGAACCTGGTGAGGGAACACAACTGCTCATCGTCGGACATAGCGACAAGCGAAGGTGGTAGCGACCAGATCTAATGCTAGGAGCCTAGGACGACCAATGCAAACTTATAGCTCGAACCAAGGCGAGGACGGGCATATCCCAGGTGACGGCCGGCACACAACAACAATGGTGGATGAGAACCCAGGAGCCAAAATCCTAGCCAAATCTCCAACACCGGCGCGCTAGGCAAGGAGTGAGGAGGGGTGGAACAGGCTGAAGGATGGCGAGCAAGACTTTATTTTATTGACGCATTTGCAGCAGCTGGAGCCAAAACCAAGGATACTGAGGCCCACACCGACACAAACAACGGTGAGGATGACCGAGGATAACACTGGTGGTGCAAAGGAGCAATCCCATTCGGGACAAACTCTTAGGGCCCGTTTGGCACGGCTTCCGCTGTACAATTTTCAGCCGTCCATTCCAAAAGGAGTTTACTATCGACAAAATAGGAATAGATTAAGTAGAGAAAGTAGTAGCGATAGTATACTACTAGAAATTAGCGATGAGCTAGTTTTTCTCTCCACCTTTTAAATAGGTCACAAATTCTCAGCCTATGTAAAAAAGCGCAGGTTTCATGGGAAGTATTTGTAGCATGTGGAAGATGAAGCCGGAGAAGCCAGGAAAACGAGCTTCTCCGGCTCGATGAACAGTGCAAGTGTAAGTGAGAGGAGGAGAGAGGAAAGTCGCTTCTATGAACAGTAGTGCGCTCAGAGTGTCGGTGTCGGGAAGCGGAGCGGCAGTGCGAAGCCGTGGCGGTGCTAAATGCGGAGAAACTCGGTGGCACTGAAGCAAGGGATTCGAGGGGCAAACGGGCCCTTAATAAAACCAGAAACTATTGGTATCTGAACGGAGAATGGGCACCCGCTCCTATCGCCACCAGTGGGTTCACCGGAGGAATTATTTGAAGAGGAGGAGGTGGACCAGGAACGATGGCGGTAGAAACCCTAAGCTGGAGTTACGGAGTAGAGAATGGGTCAGGAGGACTAGAGCAAAATATATTTCATGATTATTCTAATGATACCTATGATTTAAAAAAATTAGGGCTTTTTAGTATAGAGGGGGCTCAAATTGAAATTGTTTGATTCCAACATAATTGAGAATTACATTCTTTTTTAGACGGAGAGAAGACCATATATTTTTGGGAAAATTGGCTCCTCGACACTGAAAGTGGCCACGCTCTACTGTTGGACATAAAAAAAGGAGCGATTCGCTGAAGGACACTTTGTTTCTCGAATAATTTGCTGATGGACACTCCATCCAATAAAATATTAATTTCTGAGAGAGAAGCGCAGTAAAATATCCTTTTTGCCCCCTGTCTCTTTCTTCCCTGCTCCTCAGCAACTCCGACCATGGCTGACGTACCCAAACGGGCGGCGACGGACAAATCCAATGTCGTGCGCAAGCCCAGCTCCAGTCGTCCCGTACACCGGAAGCTTGTCCTCGCACGTTCTACGGCAACCGGAGCTGCTGTTCGCTGGAGCCAGCGCTGCGAGGTTCTCCAACTCGAATAAGTCGGAACTCGCGTCGCTGCTCTCCTCGCCGTCGTCGCTGCCCTCCTCGAGCTGCTTGCCGGAGAAGATGGCGTTGAGCAGGCTGGCGAGCCGCGCGCCGGGAGAGGCCGGCCTGCAGCTGCGGCAGTCGCCACTGGCGGGGGCGGCGGACGGCTTCCGTGCCCTCCTCGCCGTGCCAGGCGGGGCCGGCTGCTGCTTCTCCGCTGGAGCCACCGAGGCTGGCCCGACGCCACCAGAGGTGCGGATGGGGCGGAGGCGGCGTAGGGAGTATTCGACCTCGGACGACGATCGAGAAGTAGCCACGGCCGGAGGAGCAGTCGTCCGCGGGCGCCGCGCCGCAGGCGGAAGTGACCTCGGCCATGGGCACCAGGGCTGCCGCGGGCGCGACCTCGGCAGCTGGCATGAGGGCCACCGCTCTAGAGCCACCCGACTGCCTCCTGGGCGCCACGCTCGGCCGCACCGCCGGCGGCCCGGGTCCGCCCATGTCTTCGCCGTGGCCAAGCGTCCACGCCGTCGCTGCCCGTCTTCGCCCGCGTCAGATTCGCTTGCATCCACGCGCGCGCCTGCTTGCCCGAGCTGCTGCCATGCCCGCATCGCTGCCTGCGCAGCGCTGCCCACATCCGCGCCGCCGTGGTTCCAGCTCCGGCCATCCATGAGGCCGCCTGCCCACCTACGCCCGCGTCTGCGCGACCGCCCGTGGGTCCGCGTCTGTACGTGCCCGCCGCGGAGCTACCCGCCGGCGCCCGTGCACTCCCAGATGCAGCCGGACCAGGGAGGAAGAAGCCACCGCCGGGGAAAGAAAAGAAAGGGAGCACGGAAGAAGAAAGAGACAGGGGTAAAATGAACATTTCACCATGCTTCTCTTTCATCAAAAGCTAGAAATTAATATTTTATTGAACTTCAACCAGCAAATTTGTCAAAAACTAAAATGTCCCACAACAAAACACTCTATTTTGGATGTTCAGTGGTAAAGCGTGGTCACTCTCAGTGTCCAGAGCCAATTTTCCCTATATTTTTGCTAGCGCCACTGTGATAGGAATACCTAACGGTTGTCTATATCTAAAAATTTCAATCAGTCCTTTTCTCGATCTTCCTTTCCCATGAAGCATCTGCGCCTCTTCTCTCATGCCACAAGCGCCCTCCCGAAATATCATGGGTAGCCTATGCGTTGGGTAGTAGCCACATCACTGACATCGAACATTTTTTCCTTTCGGTATGCAGAGTATTTTCCTCTTTTTGGATCAACTTTATTCTCCGCAGTCGAGAAGATCAGAAGGACGTAGTACTTGGAACTTGGAAGAAACATAATATACGCACCATTGGATCAAGAATGTTGTCTAGAATATGTAGTATTTATAAATAAAAATTATAATAATATATTTATATTGAATATTGTTTACATATATTGGTAAAGTAATAATTCTAGACCAAAATACCTGTGTTAGCCCACTTTATATTTTTTAAAATATTTTAATTTTATTATGAGCGCTACGTAATGAGATATGGAAAACTTAATAATTGTCTCTATCTTACCCGCTCAATCGATCCCCTTATATTCTTCTCCCACGAAGCATTTGTTGAAAATCCATGACAACGATCCTCGACCCCCCCGCCTGGCTCCACAATTCCTAATGCCCCCTCATGCGAAGTCACTCCACCTGTATTCCCACACCACAAAAAATAAAATTCAAATTTCATATTCGATCAAGATCATATGGTTACATATTCAAACTCCTATTTGGTCAAAGTTAAAACGTTTTTTTTTGTCAAAATTTGAGTTCTAAGTTAATATATTGACAGATAGCTAGGCAGACACCCATACATGTAAGTATATACTTACCCCCTATAAACTCATGTGGACACACCTTATCCCTATGAACGTCTCTGAAAGATTAGGACTAAGCTAATAGAACTCTCAAGTTGATAAAGTCACCATAGACATCTCACTATTGACGGGCACCTACCAAACAACACCGTTAAATCCTCGAATGATTCTAAAAAAACCGAGACCTAGGTAGGCAGGTTTCACCCCAAAAAACCCAACCAGCTGACCTACGTACGCTTTCACTTTTGAGATTCGAGGGTGGGCTAGGATGTACGTTTAAATCCTATTGCTCAGAAAACAGCATCACTTGTGTTGCCCTGCGAGATTTTCTAACATGTAGCTGATGATGATCTATTGAAAATTATGGTCCGTCACGGTTCCAATTAATCCCCTTCTGTCACGACTAATTTATCTGTTGCAGGGGCTAAATTAGCATGGAAATCAAGGTGTGGTTCACCCCTCAAGCTAGCAATACATAAATTTTCCTTGTGATATATATGGTGGATACTGGATATTAGTCATGTTACTTACAAAGTCTTGCTAATTAAACTGTGTGGTGCCTATATGAACAGCCAACAGGGGGTAAAATAACATGGCGTCCCTCCTCTAAATGGGCCTATTTTTAACGAAGTATTTCTCACATTTGAAAATCCTTGACAGATGAGGAGTTATTACTCTTTGTGTACTGGTGGTATATGAATCACTGATGAAACTTTTTGCTCCTCCTTAGCTTGTTCATTCAGATTGCACTGGCAACACTCCTATCTCAAGTAAAAATAATAAAAATTTACTGGCATAATTTGGTCTTACAAATTAAAATTACTACTTGCGTATATATGTACAATGTAAGCGGTCAGCTACCTGATATATATAGCGTTATACGAACGCATGCATGCATGAATGGAAGTTACAGTAACTTTTGAACTTCCTTTTTTCATTATAGCCTGCTGTTATTTTGGAAAAATGGTTACCAGTCTTCGCTAGCGCATCATGCACAAATGCACGATCTTTCACTCTCTCGTCACGGTCTTTTACTGTTCACTTGTTCAGTACTCCACAGTCCACACACACATTTATTTATAAATCACAGAGAGCAACACTCCAGCAGAATTTGAGAAGCCTCCTCAAATATCCCACTCAGCCCCCATTCCTGCAGCATCTAGATGGAGCCCCTACTTTACGATTGTTTTTGTCCCCCCTCCCCACGTCCGTGTGGATCCAGCCGCGTCTTCTCCGCCATCCTCTCCTCGTCATGTGTCTCCCCGGCAGTCTTGCCTCATTTGCACCGCCAGCTACCCCTTTCTCGGGCCCCTCCTCAGCAGCTCAGGCGACCCTTCCCACGCTCTCCGGGCTTGGTGCACCCTCCCCGACCGGCAAGCCATCTTGGCATGGCGCCCCTCCACCGCGGGAGTCCCTTTGGCATAGTGCTCCTCCCCGGGTGGAGGTCCTCCGCCCCGACCTCGAGTGGCAATGGGCCCTCTTGATGTAGCGAACACACATGCATCATCCTCCCTGGCAGGAGCTCCTCTGGCATGACACTAAGCCCCTCCATGACGAAAGGCGCTTGCGCCTTGAGCTTCTCGCCCTCCCGCCCAACTCCTCCTCAGGAAAGTCACCGTAGTGGTGCGCATCGGGACAAAGGGAGAAGAGAGGGAGAAATGGTAGATGGTGGGTTCTAGAGGAGTAGAAGCTCTAATTTGAAGGTTGTTATTAGAGTTGAGCCCCCCCCCCCCAAAAAAAAGAGACTTGAAGTCAGGAAGCCCTCAAATCTAAAACAGAGGCCCTGATTTGAGGATCGTTGCTAGAGATGCTCTAAGAAAAGTTGTTCCTACTTTATTCAAATTGCATTGGCCAAATGGTCCTCCCTTAGGTTAAAAGTGATAATTTATTATGCCTTAGACTTTTTTGTCACACGCGACGCGAGGCTGCCTCCTAATCCCCCTCACACACTGCCCCTATGATTATTGTGGTCCCCCCTTGTAAGGGATCATGACGCCTAGGGGGGGTTGAATTAGGCAACTTAAAAATCTACTTCTAACTATGACCTCTAATTCTACCTTAGCAAAAACTATGCAAGAAAGTAATCTATCTAAATGTGTAACTACGGTTTTGCTAATATGTTGCTATCTCTACCGCAAAAGAGTCTTGCAACCTAGATTCTAACCCTATCAGCTAGTCTATCAACTAAGCTAGGAAAGTAAAACACACAACCTAGGTCACAATGTAAATGCATAAGGTAAAGATGAGGTAGAGATACAAACTCCCGTCGACGACTCTGGTATTTTTACCGAGGTATCGAGAAGCGCTCAAGCTTCCCCCTAGTCCTCGTCGGAGCCCCTTGCAAGGAATCCCTCGCAAGGGCCAAGCTCCCAGTCAGGTAACTCCATGGATAGCCCCGGGCCTTCCCCACACGCAAGTGGGTCTCCGGTGTGCCTTCCGGCAAGCCTCTCCCGGACCGCTCCCCACCATTTTCACTATCAAGCTTTTGGCCGAACCGCCGTGGGCCTTGTTCCCTTCGGTACACGGTGGCGGCCACACCACAAACATGGTTGGTGTGATCTCGCAAGACTACAAGACCCTCCGATGTATAACAATGGTGCGCGCAAACACCGAGTGATAAGAGGTGTGCAAACCTCACTAAACACTAGGCCTAAATCTAGGGCAAGCGCATAAGCGGTGGTCTAATAAACCTAAGCATTTCGCAAAGCATCTACGCTAATCACCTAATGAATCACTAAGCATTATGCAAGTGGAGATCACTAAAATAATGTATCAACACCCTTGGTATGTTTCCTCAGCTCTCCACTCCTCAATTGGTCGGTTGGGGGTCTATTTATAAGTCACATGGAGAAAGTAGCCGTTGGGGATGAAACCTAGCTTTCTATCATTGACCGGACGTGCAGGTCGTCCTGATCGGATGCGTCCGGTCGTCCTTACCGTTGAAGTCGGTTGTTGGTGCTCACTGTTGATCGGACTCTCTGGCGAGTCCGGTCGCTTACCATTTGACGCGTCCGGTCAACGTATCGCCGCTCTCGAACCTCTCTAGACTCGATCGGACGCCACTGCCTGGCGCGTTCGGTCGTCCACAACTACTGCGTCCGGTTCTCACTAAGTTGTTACCGCGACGATGAACAGTGAAGTCCATGCGTCCGGCCGCTGCCTCGCTCAGCGTCTGGCTTGGTTCCTATCTTCGTGCTTGGACTTTGCTTGGTTTCTTGGGTCTTCTCTTGTGCTTCTAGGGTCTTGCTTATGTTGTTGATCATCGGATCATCGTGTCGCCTTCGTGCAAGTCACGTCTTGCACCATATTGAACTACAAAACAATTACTTGTAAAGTCACTAGTCCAATTTGGTTGTGTTGGTCATCAAACACCAAAATTCAAAGTAAATGGGCATAGGGTTCATTTTCCTTACACCTCTCCTTAATTCCCGTGCGACGGCCTCGCTAGCGCTAATTAGGAATGGGGATCTCCCTCTGTCGTTTAAATCTAATAGTTTTTTAGGCTTCTAGATTACATTGAATAAAGTTTGTTCTATGAGTTGCCGGTTACCATCACCTTCATCGGTTGCTTGCCAGATCTTATTTATCCTAGAGATCTTTGGTGCGGGTTTGGCTCTAGGCATCCAATCCGGTGGTCTTCATGTTGCTCCTACTTTTGAAGGGTCAATACGATTGGAGTGGTAATCGAGTTCCTCATTTGCATCTATGTGTTACAGGTTAACTAGATTCCGATCTCATGACGGTCGAGTAGGTATCTGGGCTTCCATAA